GCTAGTCCATCCCTCATTCTTAAGACATCCTTATTGTCTATGAGCCAGGGGTTGGATGGTAGTGCGGTTTTTAATACAGCTGTCAGTTTGTCCCAGCTGGGGTCAGGTGGCTGTCTGGCTTGGCTTCTGGTGGTAGCTTCCAAGCTGATTGTGAAGGGGGAATTGTGGTGTGGACTATTTCCTCCCAACAACTGTCAAACTGCGGCTTTCTTGACAAGGCATCGGCTAACAGGATTTTTCCTGCTGAGATGTACTTCAGTTCAAATTTGAATCGTCTGACTTATTGTGCCCAGGGGACTTGTTTGGGAGACATTTTTTGGGAGTTTTCACAGCTTTGAGATTTTTGTAATCAAAAGGCACTTTCCCCCCTCTAAGAAATGTCTCCATGAGAGGAGGGCCCACCGGACTACATAGGCTTCCTTCTCCCAAATGGCCTACCTTCTCATGATGGTGGTTAGTTTTTTTGGACATGTAGGCACAAGGCAATTGTTGTTGTTGTGGGTAGAAACTCTGCTGCCATGGCTATGTCACTGGCATGTGCATGGATGATGAACTGTTGCTCTGGATCCGGGTGTTAAAGGATCGACTCTTGGGAAAAGAGCCTTTTAAAATTTCAATGGCTTTTTGACAGTCCATTGTCAAAGTGAGTGGGTGGTTTGGCTTTCGAATCGTCGGAGGAGACACAGTCTTCAACAGTTCTGTTAGGGGCAGAATAATTTCCACAAATGCCGGGATAAATTGACTATAAAAGTTGGAAATCTCAGAAAGGTCTGAAGTTGTCTGTGAGTGCGTGGGAGCTGCCAGTTGAGCACTGCCTTTATTTTCCCTGGATCCATTTCCACCTCTCTGCTGGATATCTGATAGCCTAGGTAATCTAGAGAAGTTTTTTGGAATTCACACTTTGACAGCTTTGCGTAAAGCTTGGTGGTGAGGAATGTTTCCAGCACCTGCCGCACTAGCTTTACATATTTACCTAGGGGTTCACTGAATAAGAGAATGTCATCCAGATAAATTAGGACCCCTTTGTATAGGTACTCGTGCAGCACCTCATTGATTAGCTGCATGAACACAGCGGGGGCTCTTTGAAGGTGGAATGACATTACTTTAAATTGGAAGCTACCAAGTGAGCAGTTGAATGCAGTTTTCTATTCATCTCCTTTAATTCTTATGCAGTAGTAGGCTTCTCTTAAGTCTAATTTGGTGAACACCTTGCCCTTGGACAAGTAGTTTAGCATGTCCTTCATGAGGGGGAGAAGATCAGTGTTCTCCACACATATGGCATTAATTCCATGAAAATCCCCATCATCTCCCCATCTTTCTTTTTTTTGAAGAGTACCAGGGCTGCTACTTTAGCCTTCACAGGCTGGATAGCTAATGGCTTAGCACTGCGCTAAGTTGGCATTTATGTACTTTCTCAACTCCTCCATTTCTTTAGGAGTCATGGAGTACATCTTAGGTTTGGGTAGCTTAGCCCCTGGCACAAATTCGATCATGCAATCAGTTGTGCAGTGAGGGGGGAGGAAGCTGCCCTCTTTTTACTAAAAAACCCCAACAGGTCTCTGTATTCTTTTGGCACTTGTTGGCTACGGCCTCAGGTCTGTTGATACTTCTAGGGGTTGTGGCTTTCTGGCAATGTTCTGGTTTTACGGGTGGCAGCAGTCCAATGCCAATGTTTATTTTCCTATAGCCATCCTCCAAGGTGATGGTTGGTCCCTATTGTCTAGCCATGCAAGCTGTAATATAATTGATTCAGTTATTTTGAGGGCTTTGACAAACTGGATCGATGGGACACTTAATTGGATGAGTTCTCAGTGGCGACCCATTTCTAGTCTGATGTGCTCGGTGACCTATGTGGCCCCACCAATTAAGTGTCCCATCGACCTGCTCAAAGCGGATGGGCCCCCTAGGGGTCTCGTGCGGATGCCTAACTGCTCAACAATGGGGAGGCTGATTAGGCATCAAGTGCAGCCCAGGTATATGATGGTTTCTACTGTCCCTTGGATTCCCGTTTCTAGTACTACTATCTTGGTCTTGATTGTAAAGGGGTGGATGGCTGCACTTATAATTGGGTCATCATTACTGTTGCTTTCTCTTGCCGAGGCTGGAGGAGCCTCACTGGCTGGATTTCCCTCCACTTTGTTGAGAAGGAACAGAACCTCTACAGCCTGCTTGGCAAGTTGTCCTTTATCGGGTGGCTTCTGCGGGGTTCTCCTCATCCCAACCATGGCTGGAGGCCGGGCTTGGGAAACTGGGGCCAGAGCCAAGCATTTGGATGCCCCACCCCCCAGATGCCTCAGGCTTGCCTGGTTGAGGGCCTCCTTGAGATGGTGTACTAGGAGGCATTCCAGCCAGTCTCTTAGCTTCCTGGTTAGTCTCCAAAACTCCCAAATCAATTCTTTTGGGCTGTTTGCTGGCTTGCTTCAGCACTTTGATCTGAGACTCTGCTTCCACTCGATGGGCCATGCCCTCGAATCAACCCCACATCAGTTGGACATCTTCTAGCTCAGGGGCTTCTTCGCCATGAAGTTTTTTGCTATCCATTCCACCGCTTGTCCTTGTTCATGCCATCATTAATGGCAGAAATCAATTCACAATCGAATGGGTATTGATCTCATACTGATCAATGTGAGCCCAGATTTGGTTGAGAAAGTAGGCTAGCCTCCTTGGAGTTCTGTCAAACGTTGCTCTGAACTGTGGAGCAGGATCGGCTGGCGAGATCTGTTGCAGAGCCTGTGTGGGTTGCTGCCCTGGCACCTACTGTTGGGCTGGAACCTGTTGCAGGATCACGGCCTGGGGTTGAAGCTGTGGCTCTGTTGCAGAACAATGACTGGTGGTTGGAAAGGTCCAAGCTGCTGAAAGGGCATTTGCTGTGAGACAGAAGCCGATGTCCACTGATATTGCACCCATCCCTGTTCAGGGCAGAATGCCCATCTAGGGGTCATAAACCACTGAACCATCTCCTGTGGCTCCCTCCATGATTTTGTCTTCCTACAATTTCACTGAGTCTTCGCGCCGTCCGGATTCAGGTCGACGCTTGGGGCTCAGGACCCTGGGCAGCACCTCAGAGTTCAGGGAAGCTGGTTGAAATTTAAAAGGAATTTGGGTTGATGTCAGGGTTCCAAGCCCAATGAAAGAAGAGTCTGAGGCTTCAGTTTCCTCAAAGTTCCATTTTATTAGAGATGTCATATTGGCACATCTGAGAAAATCCGAATCTGAAAGTTTCAGCATTTCGAAAACCAAATCTGAAGTATGAACCCAGCCTATATTATTTCCAGGTTTAGAGATAATAGACCTACCATCAATAGTGGGAGGAGCAGACTGCATAAAATTGGATTGGATAGAGTTTGATGTGAATCAGTGAATTGTAGATTTCCTACTGTGTTTATATGACTGGCCAGAGAAGAAACTGACATATTTCATTTACTGGTGGGTGATAAGATAAAGGAAGCCCATGTTTGCTACTGATTGTGGATGAAGGATGTTAATAGTGACAATATTGGAGGTTTTTTACCCCAATAGTTTAACAGTAATCACTAAAGTACCATAAAAACAGAGCTGACAGTTGTTTCATAGCCATAATTTATTCATCTTTTCTTTCTTTCCTTCCTTCCAGGTAAGTAACTTTGGTATCTAGTGCCAGAAAAGGATAGAACTATGTATCATGACATCATATCAATGGCCAGGGATAATTCCGATAAAACATTGGAGGACTCTGAACTCTAGCTTAGTTTAAAAAAAATAGCATACCTAGTTTTTTACTGCCAGAAATTGGCAGAAACTTTCAATTAAACCTTGTTTGCCTCTGGCCTCAGCATTTAAGAGATTCTATACAAATATGAAACCTTACTATAACACTTTTTTAAAATGAGTAACATTTTAGTTAAACTTTTCAGAAACCAAATGGCCTAATTCGGAATAAACACTTTTTTCTAATAATTTTTATTAATAGATTTTACATAGATAATAAAATACATTCAAAGAAAGAAAAAATAATGTATTTATTTATTTATTTATTTATTTATTTATTAGAATTCTATGACACACATCTTGCAAAGGCAATTCTAGGCAGTTTACAGTTATTTACAAACTGTGCTATATAGTCATAGAAAATACACAGGGTTAAAATGGAAAAAGCAAAACAAAAGCAAAAAGACAGAAAGAAATTGCTTCCAATATCATAGCAGTTATGCATATAACTGTAGAAAAATGACTTTCTCTAATTACACCATAACTCTATTCTTTTTATAACTTATTCTTATTCTTTCTAATCATCAAAACTGTAAATCACTTATCTTTCTCACAAAAAGTCCATACAGGGTTTCCAATCAGTGATGAATGTCAGTAATGACCTTTCTCTAATCAAAGAAGTCAATTTGTCCAAATGGTAAATTCTGTCAATTCCACCAAGCATTCCTCCATATCAATAGCACCAAATATTTCCATCTTAGTGCATATAGTAGTTTCATCACAGTAATCCTAAATTGAAATAATCTTATAAGTCTCTTTTCTGTTTACCCATCAATCAAAAAAAAGTTCCAGCTTCAATTATTTATTTATTTAAAACTCTGTATCAATACATATAATTGAATCCATTTTTAAAGCATTTTTATGTGTCCAACATACATGATGGGCATTGTTCACATTTGAGCATACATTTGAAATGCCTTTATATCTTCTGGATAACTTCTCTCACATCATATACCAATGTGCATCATTTTATAAAAAATCATTTTAATATAATATAAATTTCAATCTGTTAATAACATTTTACATTGATTTATCTGTATAGTACAACAAAAATTGTTAGCCCACATTATCATACGTTATTTAATGTATGCTATTACATTATAATGTAATAGTAAGTAGGCGGAAGATAATGTCCTTCCTCCTACTGTGAATGGATAATTTAATCACAAAAATAAGGATCATTCTTATGAGGATATATGAACCTGTTCCTTTGCTGAAGCATAACACTTTGCATCTATTTGTTTTTTTTTCAGACTTTACAAAATGTTGCAAAGACACAGGTTTTCTTATGGTGGTAAAATGCCAAAAGGAAAACAAACTCCTGAAAGAATGTCTCACCGGCTAGTAAGTATAAAAGGACTGAATGGAAAATTTCCATCTTCAAAGCATCCATTGCTAGGTTTTTTTTCATGGCATCATACAGATCTTGCTTCAATTATACAATATTAATATTAACAGTGTATTGGTCATCAGTTTAGCTGGCTGAAAAATCTGAGAAGGCATTAAGTTGCGGAAATTTATAATATCAGAACACAATATAACTAGCACTGTTTTTTATTTATTTGTTCCTTGTCAGTTCATTTCCCCCATTTGTTCTTTTGTTGCCACCAGTGTAGCAGATTCTTCATAAAAGAATACAATTCTTCAAGTTGGACATTTTGAGGAGAAATATCTATAACCCAGCCATTGTCCAGTCATGTTAAACACCAACTCTCAGCATCTCCAGCCAATTGGGCTATGGTGATCTATGGTTAATGGGACTTGTCTGTCTGACACATTGGGGAGACAAAGAGTTGTGGCAGTTTATTATCCTAAGATCAGAATCACTTATATATTGCTGTGTATTTGAAAGCTGTAAAATTGCTAGATATTCAGAAAGTTCCTGATATATGAAAGATACTTATGTGGGGTGTCTCTATTTTTAAAACGATTTGATTTGTAGCAACAATACTGAGCATCAAGGGAATGTTAAAACAAAATCAAACAGATAACCTGCAAAAATTTAAAAAAATAAATAAATCCTGCATTAGAAGGAAAATTTAAAAAATGCATCAATAAGATTTTGTCTTGAGGGGAAAAAAGCAGGGATTAGACAGGGATTCTTCCATTTAAAAAAAAAAACACCCCAAAGATAAGAAACTTTTACTGCAGCTATCATAATTGTGAACCAGTTGCCAAGCACTCTAATCACAATCAACTTACTGTGAAGAGTCTGTGATGGCTATAACCATGAAGACCTGTCTTAGGTTCCCCTCTTTCAATGCCCTAATAACTTTGGTCACTTAAATAGTTGGTCAGTGTGGATTACCTGTATTCTTTCTTACCTGTGGGGAAGTTTATATTCTTCCATTACTGAATTTTGCCTCTGCTAGGTTTCCTGCTTTTATTTTCATAGACAAAATGGTTTACTTGTGCCTATGATTTCTCTTTCTTTGCAAAGCATTTTACAAGGCCTAACATTAAGCCCACTTCCATGGTTTATTGTGATATCCATATCCTCTAGAAGGTTCAGCATACAGTAAGCTATGTTGAGTTTTCCCATTCATATTTGCACACAACAACTTGGCTTCCAGACCTAGGGAAAATGTTTGTGCATGCAAAGTACACTTGCAAAGCACTCAGGGTTGTCTAATAGAGCCTTCCATAGGACATGATTGTGAGGGGTACATTTTTGTAATTCCATGTATAGTTTATGTGTTTAAGTAGGCAATGAAGGCACAGAATACTGAACATTAGTGTCCCTCAATAGAGAATTTTTTGAACTTTTTTTGCCATAGCAGATAGGCTCTCATTTAAACATTTAATGCTGATGTGATTTGCATTCCCCCAAAATATATACTTTAGATAGTTGGTGTTACAGGATTCCCAGTACTATTCCTTCTTGCTTTAAAACTTTTACATGTAATTGAGTGGAGAAATTAATGCACATATTTTGCCTACTTTTTTAGCTATAGTGATCCAGCATTTTATGAAGAATGCAAGGCTGAATATTTGAAAACCAGGGAAGAACACAGGGCAGCACAAGGTGTTCCTCATCAGAAACATTCTACTAGCACCTAGGCAAGTTGTATGGCTGACATTTGAAACTTGAACTTATGTAGGCACAGCAACTTCTTTCTGACTTCCTTAGTCTAAATCTCTCAAAATAAATGAAATTAATATACAGAAATCCTGAAGAACATGCCTATGCTAAAAAAGCTAATAGAATCTGGCTATTCAATTTAGTAACTCAGTAGTAATTCCTCAGTTCATTTAAACATGCAGCTGATTCACAACACATTCAATCATTGTATATACCTATTTTTCAGGACACCGCAAAATAAATCTCCATCTTTTGTTCTTATTTATTTGGATAATATAAATTTTACAATATTTAAAATATGACAAAATGGAGTTCTTTGGGAAGGAAAGATTGTGTGCTGATTTCCCAATGGTTCTTTTTAATGTTAATGTCGTTCCATTTTTTACTCTAACACAGGTGAACTATTTGGTTGTACATGATATGTACAATATCTGCAAGTAACAGAGCAGAGGTCCTTTGCGAGATTTCTTTATTCTCTAATTACCTAATAAGGTTTGGTTTGCCAAGTGAATACCCCCCAGAGAATCTGAACTGACAGATCTTTGAGAGAAACTCCACACAAAATTTTAAAGTAGAATTGCTTGAGAAGAAGAGTTCCTACAGATTGCCACCTGATCTGTGTTAAGATACATGAAGAATATAATCCTCATTTTGAAGTCCGAAGCCCCTCTAATAATCACTGAATTTAAGAAGGCTGCTAGAAAGCATTTAAGAAGGGAAATAGATGGTTCAAGAAACAACAGAATGCAGTTTAGTGATGTTGAAAGTTACAACAGCACTGAAAAGTGACTTATGACTGTTTTTCACACTTATAACGTTATAACATAACATTACAGTATTTGCATGGTTACATAATCAAAATTCATACACTTGGCAACTGACTCATATTTGTGACAGTTACAATGTACCAGTGTCGTGTGATCATCTTTTCCAAACCTGACAATTAGTCAATGGGAAAGTCAAATTCACTTCACAACCATGTTACTAATTTAACAACAGTAGTGATTCACTTAATAACTGTGGCAAGAAAGTTAGTAAAATAGAACTGTCTCACTAGCAACAGAAATTTTGGGCTCAATTGTTGTCATAAATCAAGGACTACCTATATAAATTGCTTGTTAAATATGAAAATGAGCCATTCTGCTAATCTTTCTGTTATATGCATCAGTAAATTAGATCTCTTACCAAGAAAACATGTACAACTAGGCAGGACTAACACAGTTCAGACTGCATCCTTATTGTAACTGTAAGTGTATTGGTACTTTGGCTGATTAGTGTAAGTTACATGTGGAGTAATGGGCTATTGAATATCAAATTGTGTTTAGTTTTTAAGGCTCTACTGCTCTTATTTCAGGCATTTGTGTAGATGGAAAACAGGTTTCTCATTGATTTTTGCAGTGGGGATTGTCACCTTATCTTCTAATCCCTGGTTGGTTAAACTGTAACAAGAAACCTGGGCCTGTGCTTTTGTTACTTTGCATAAAGATTCTAAAATATTCTTCCAAGCAACACCTGTTTCAAAATAGTAGAAGCCTAGTCTACAGTCTTCCTTATGCTCAGAATTTCAATACATTCTGAATAAGGACATTTTTTCCCAGAGTGCTCTATCATTGGATACTTTTTAATAGTTTTATTCCTATATTTTCTCATCTCAATCAGAACAAGTACTCATTTTCAAAACAAAAGAATAATTGTGAAAGAATCCCATGACATTCCAGGTATTATTAGACTATAATTTCCATTATAACTGACCACCAGTTATGCTAGGTTTAGTGGGAAAACAATTTCCTTACAGGAATGATATAAAAATAAATAATAAAAGCAAAGAGACAGCTACAAATTCCACTATCTCTGGTTATAAATGCTGGAAATTTCAGAAAATGTAATATTACCTTTGCATTTTAATCAAAGAATCACTAAGAGCTCATAGGTTTCTTAGCCATATACTATAATTCATTGTTTGTGCAATATTTCCCAATGTTATTTTTGTGGTATCGTTAAATTTAGGGAAATAAATTTTGATCCATTTGATCCACTTGAATTTGTGAGAAGATTTAAAATACAATATTTGAAGAGTGAAGACAGTGTCAACATCACTTTACATCTGATATTCATCAATTCTACCTTCAAAATCTACAGTATTGTGGTGTTAAGATATGATTTCTTGAGTTATATCTGAGATGCAAAGAAATAGAACTGAATGTCCTATCAAAGAATCCAGATAAAATAGGTGATGTGGAAAGCCGAGACAAAAGTGTGTAACAGAATGACCTTTATAATGTGGGGGTGAGCTTTGTAATCTGGGGCTATTTTAATAACATCGAATTAAAAATGTGTCTCTATTTAACTACTTATGCAACCCTTTTCAAATATATGATAAAAATGCTTCTCAGGGAATTGGTTCTCATCCAAAATATATGAAAATAAATCTTCATAAATTTTAGCATCTTGCTTTTTCCTCTAATGTGAAGAATATTATATCACAAAATATATTGTATAACTTATGTCATATTAAATGACAGGTATGTAATGACTCATCTCAAAATTGACAAATTGAATTGATTTTTCCTTGCTATATACTTTTCCCCCATTTCATTTAAAAAATCTATTGCACATGGCAAAGATTTTCCAGCTTTCCCATTCTTTTGCATTGATTACTGGTTGAGTTTCTACATATAAAATAGATGGTCCTTATTCTTTCTGAAAAAAGGAGCTAGTGAACTAAAAGATTGATCAGTAAAGAATATCAAGGTGTAAAAGGTTATGACTTTGGAGCCTGCTCTCTTTGGAACCTGCTTTGAGTGTGCTGTGCATGAAAAAGAAAACACAGTCCCATTCGGAGTCCTACAGTTATTTATAACTTCTGATTTGGCTGCTTTTTTTACAAAGTTTTCTATCCAATGCAGCAGAGATGAGTCAAGTCCCTGTTGCTATCACTTTTAGCCAGGATGAATGGGCAGTGAAGTGTTGAAAGAACATTTAAACACATGGTCAGACAAAAGCCTGCCTGGAAAATGGCTTTTATCTGAACTTTGCTATGGGAAAGTCCATAAATGATTGGATGGATTGCATGAACAATGTACTGCAATTTACTTTGCAAGCACTTTTGGATGTGTATAGATGCACATATGCATTTGCTGAAGATATAGAGAGTTCTAGTCTTTGATTTGTTAAACTATTTGGTGTCCATGTGCAGTCTATTATTCTAGGGTTCGGCTATAATTTCATGCAATTAAGAAGCTCAACAGACTAGCAAAAAAAAAATAGCTTTCAGAAAACTGAGCCACAGGGCTTTAAAAATTGAAAAAAAATAGGTTCTTCTTTTAATGCTGATTTATTATTTTAGATCAGGAATCTCCAACCCCCCAGGCCATGGTTCACTACTATGCCATGAACCGGGCCATGGAAGCAGTGGGTGCTCGTACTCATCCACAAAGCTGCATTAGCGTGAGTGGTGGGCTTGCACATGAAGATCACCCGTGCAAGTGCACAATCATACGCACCTGCCACTCATATGGAACTATTCCCTCTACAGGTTCGCCAAGACAGAAAGTTTGGGATTACTGTTTTAGATTATATCATATGGTATTCTAAGTAGATTTTTAATTGAAGATCTAAGAGAACTGTATTCTTGTTATTTCCTACTACAATTTTTAAAATAAATGTTCTGCGATTTGGGTTGTAGCATTTAGCATAGTGTAACCTAACTTCATAGCTCTGGATTAAAAAATAACGGAACAGCTGATCTTTAATTCTAGTTATTACTAATGACAGACACTAGAAACTCTCATTCCAAGAGTTGGCAGCTCAAAATAATTTTTCAAATGATGCTATCTGCATGAAACTTGAAAGAAAATGTATTCTCTTTACATCAGCACCAGTAAAATGATAGATTTAAGAAGCAAACTATGATTAAATTTACCTTGTAAGCACTTCAAATTTATAATGTCATGAATGCTTCATGATACAAACCCCTCCTGCCAGTTTTTAACAATAGTAGTGAGAATCAAAAGGCCATTCTCAGATCAAAAAAATTGTTTATTCTCTATAAATTAGCCATCTAGGAATACAATTTTTTAAGAAAACCACATTAATATAGATTTTCAAGGGTTCTGTATCATAGAGTTTTAAGAGATTAAAATGTCGCTTCAGTAACTCAGAGCAACTGGTAAAACACAACAGGCATAATTAGAAATGGATCACCCAATCTTTTATACTTAGTACTGTTGTTTAATTTGCTTTTCCCCCCACTTTCTTTTCTAATGTATTCTACTTTGATCTATTTGAAAATATAAATTTTAAATAAGATTATATTATTTTAGATATATAAATGAAACTGTCAAATGTTAGGGTCAACTTAAAGCCTTTCTACCCCAAGAATGTCTTGATTTGGAATGGGAAGAGAATGCTACATTACTAAATTGAAAGAAGTTTACACATTCCTAATTATAACAATGAAACCTACTCCAGATTTTATTTTCCACTCAGATACAAAATTGGGTTAGAATCAGAATTTACTCAAATTTAGGATTTTAATTAGCATAGATGAATATACAGTTCAGAGCATTCAAAATAAAAAAGGTTTCAATTGCATAAAATTGTTTCAAACAAAAGTAAGTTTTTTAAAAACATGGCTGGATCCTCAATACATCATTAAAAACATGAAGCAGCTTGGCATGTTAAATAATGGTAACTTATTCAAGAATCTGTAATCCAAAAAAGCAGTCCTGAGAAACATTAGAGCTATGCAGTCACAGAAATGGCTACTTCTACTTCTTTTTATTACACAGGTAGTTGATTCTATCAGTTGAAATCAGTGGCTTAGATTTATTATATGCATATTGGAGTTTGTTCTATTACTCTACAGGAGGATTGTACTCCCTTGAGTCAGCTATGTTCATTGGTCAGAATAAATTCTTGCATCTGACACTATTTCCATTAATCACAGACAAGGTAGGATATGTGAACAAGACAATATTTTTAAAAAAATCTGAGGAACATCATGTGTGCCATTCATTAACACAGGAAAAAATCTCCACACTTTCACCTTGCTCCGCAGATTATATTCTCTTTAGTAATAAAAGGAAGAAAGCACCAGTACTGAATTATACAAAATGCAATGCACAGGAAGAAGGGGAAATAACATTGTTATGGTTGTGCTGCTCATCTACACAACCACATGGAAAATTTTTATCTTTCAGAAAAATACAATTATTTCTTCCACTATAGATTTTACTTTTCTCTATTCATGTTTCAAGTACACATTCAGAAACAAATGGAAAATGGCAAGATACATGAATTGTACATGAGGGAATGACCAGATGAGATTTGAGCACTGAAGTAAACAAAACTTGCAGCTGGTCCATCATTATATTGTCAGGTCCTTCTGACCTTTCCCCTCACTCTTTCTGCATCTCAAATCCAGGTACATAAAACTGCTGTTAGAAATCTATCCATTTATATGCTGGTAAAATCATCACTACTGATTTGAGGGTATAATAGATCAACCAAAATTTACTGCTAATAAAATGAGACAGAAAAGACAGAAAATTATTTCAATGCTATTAAAACAATCAGGTTACCCATATATTTTGGATCAAATGCATCTTCTTTAGTATAGAATATATCAGAAATGTGGAATCACAGAAAGATTAAATTATTTGGAATGTTACAGTTCTTCCTAGCTGTATTAAGGAGCCTGGATATTTCACTTCAAAACTATTATAGCATTTTGGACAGGAAATCCCCCCAAAAGGAAGCAATAAATACATGATGCTATTATTTGTGAAGTGATATTTTACTGCAGCATTTAGAAACTTTTCCATTTTACCCTATTTCAAAATTTTTTACCATGAGGTACTGAGGATAAATTGATAAATTGAATGATCTCATTTTCAGCATATTATCCATTAATAAAAAGCCAGAGATTGCTTCAGAATTTAATATATTAATTACCTGACCTTAAATCAAAACTTATCCAAAAACTAAGTCCTTTTCATAGCTTCATGTTTGAATGTACATATTATTCATAACACATGTTGCTTTTGTTTTATTCCTCCACAATTTAATATTTTAGAAATCTGTCAATGGGTAATCAGAAAATTGAGGATATAACAAATCATTCACCGTATTTGTACTCACTGTTTTTCAAGTTTTGATAACAGGGAAAATCTCATCCAACTCATCCAAGTTCATTATACTCCACCCTCTACTAACAAGTACAAGTACAAGACCTTGTTCAGGATTAGTTTCAAGTTCCTTCTACTGTTCTTAGCTCTTATGCAAGCAATTTTGGTTATACTGATCCAAGTTGTTTCCTGGAAAGTTTAAGTGAGTCACTCTGTTTTTCATTTCCCAAAATACTGTTTCACTAGGTTTTGGAGGGCTTGGAAATACCCAAGAATTATCTTCTAGAGAATTTTTTCCATAGGAGTTATGTTCCAGAAATGGAGACTCACATGAAGAGCTAAATTTCTCATTAGTACACGGTGAGGATGATGCAAGATTACCAAAAACATCATCATTTGTTTGAAGTAATCTATTTTTGCATATTGCTCCTGAAGCACCTAAGTGGAGGTTGGTAGCATCCCTTTCAAGATCTTCAATACACTGAACAGAGGTATAGGATGGCACTGTGGAAAGAACCAAGTATGTTTAATTTGGGGGCTAATGTGTATCATTCACACTTAATACAATTCAGATGCTATTAACAATACCTACCAGATATCTCTTTCTTTAATTACAGATTTATCTCTTAATGATATATTATTGTAAGAAGCTTGTTCTTTTTTTGATCAGCTCTCATATTTATTTCTATACAACCCGTACCTTATGGACTAATCCAGCATGGCTGGCTTTTTAAACTTTTAAGACACCAGAGGAGTAACAAGAGCTAACTCTTTCCCACACCTAACTTTTAACTCTTAGCCCTATGCTTCCTTAAAACAAGTAGCCTCGGGAAAATCTCTCAACAAAGTATATGAATCTCTCAACAACACAGACTGATTTTGGCCCTGTACATTTCATTAAATTCATTTTAAAGTGCAACTTTCATCTTCATCTTATGACATAATCATGGGCCAATTAAACATACATATTTAATTTGGCTTCTATTCACATAAAAACAGTTAACAATTTGTATTCAAGTGCCTTTCAATGTTGGAAGAAAGACTGCAATTTAAGAATTGTGAGGGTGCAAAAAATTTCCTGAGCAGTCAATTTTCCATTTAAAAATAAGCTTGGAATCTAATTATCAAAAGTACTTTCTCTGTAGAAATACTGCATATAAAATGAATCTTAAGATTAACAAATTACTCTAGTAAAAAGGTAATAAATCATAATTTTTGTTTTTATAGTCTTAAAAAGTTAATTGTGTAAAAGTACATTTGAAAACTGAAGAGTTATCTGTTGTTTTGAAAAATATAAAATAGTTCCAATAAAAGGTCAAATACACCTAACACCTCATTCTTGTACAAATCGCATCTGATTGAGGGGGGAAAGTGACAAGAGATACAGCATAAAAAGGAAAACCGCATCAGCAACACCTTTTATGCGTGAAGTTGACCAGTTAAAGAAAAAAGTAGATTGGAATTACAATAAAAATGAGTCTATCAGTCTAAATTGATACAACTGAGTTAAGATGTAGTAACAACCTGAATTTCAAAATGATGTATAGTTCTATGCCCTTTCAGACAAACCTGTACTTGCCTTTCTTAGTTGTAGATGGAATAAGTTTCAGCTTCTTCAGCATCTCAACTTGCACTTCAGTCACCAGATGCAAATTAGACATCTCCCTCTTCAGTTCTCTGTATACCTGCTGAATGCGTTCACTAAAACACATTTTAAAAGTTTAAGCAGATAAGAAACTTCAAAAGATAATGATTCAAGAACAAGAGGAAGGATGCAATACCTCAATATAAAAGACTAAGATCTAACTCCTTAATTTATACAAAATATACTTTGAATCAATTGGTTTAACAAAATATTGCTGTATGGCAACAGATGAAGAGAAAGTGCATGTAATTCTTATGTTTATAAATATTTTTTCAGTGACTGTTCAATATTTCAACAGTGCTGAACAAATGGTACTTAAGACTTGCTGAAAAAATGGTATTTAAGATTTTTTTCTCAAAGTTCCAGTCACTGCAACATGGTCACATGATTCTGATCCAGATATCCAGCACACAATTACAACACTCTAGCAAGCCATGGTCACAAAATCCAACCACCGTTGCAAAATAAGGTCAATGGGAAGCTAGCAGGAAGTCAAAAATCACATAAAGCCCTCACTTAACAACAGCAATCAGGCCCACCAGAATTACTGGTGAAAAAGTAAGATTCTACATTTAGGCAAGAAAAACAAAATGCACAGGTACAGTATAGGTGGTACCTTGCTCAATAGTAGTAACTGTGAGAGGGATCTTGGGAGTCATAGTGGACAACCATTTCAATATGAGCCAGCAGTGTGCAGCAGCTGCCAAAAAAGCCAACACAGTTCTAGGCTGCATAAACACATAGAATCAAGATCATTTGAAGTGTTAATACCATTTATAATGCCTTGGTAAGGCCATACTTGGAATACTGCATCCAGTTTTGGTCACCACAGTATAAAAAGATGTGGAGACTCTAGAAAGAGTGCAGAGAAGAGCAACAAAGATGATTAGGGGACTGGAGATTAAAACATATGAAGAACGGTTGCAGGAATTGGGTTTGTCAAGTTTAATGAAAAGAAGGACTAGGGGAGACATGATAGCAGTGTTCCAATATCTCAGGGATGCCACAAAGAAGAGGGAGTCAAGCTATTCTCCAAAGTACTTGAGAGCAGGACGAGAAGCAATGGGTAGAAACTAATCAAGGAGAGAAGCAACTTAGAACTAAGGAGAAATTTCCTGACAGAACAATTAATCAGTGGGAACAATTTGCCTCCAGAAGTTGTAAATCCTCCAACACTGGAAGTTTTAAAGAAGATATTGGATAACCATTTGTCAGAAATGGTATAGGGTTTCCTGCCTAAGCAGGGGGTTGGACTAGAAGACCTCCAAGATCCCTTCCAACCCTATTTATTCTATTCTATTCTAAATCTAAAGCAATGGCAACTTGATTCCAATTGCCATTGCAAGCTAAAGACTATCTGTATTAATAATGGTTCCCTACTAATGCTTCTCCACATCTTTTTAATGTATTTTAATTAATTCTGTATTTAGCATTGATGGCCTTCGCTTAACAATCTCATTTTAAGATACATGCGCACACTTATTTGCTCACCCTGAATAAATGGATTCATTTAGCAATCCTTAGTTCTAAAATTATAGAGAAAAAATACCCTCCCCCTACCACTGATCTCTGATATACTGAGAAGTACTCATAAAACATAGGAACTTTTCCTCTTTTTTTTTTGACTGAGTCAGACCTGATTTCAGGTGACTGAATAAACAAGTCTTTGCAGTTTTCTAGGCACCATTTATATAAGTGGTTTGCCACTGCATTGTTCCAAGGGCTGAGGAGAATGACTGGTCCCAAGTCACCCACTTGACCTCCAAACATAAACATAAGTTCTAATCCATTTCTATGTTTCTAGTCCAATATTTAACCTCTAGACAAAAAATATACAAGCATATTTCTAATGAACTCAGGCCAACTAAGGATGCTTAAAATATTTTTTAGTCTTTCCCTAATACCTGCGGCTAAGTCAAAATTGACTAGCTTTAGGTATCACACAGTCCTTCCTCAAAATTGTGACCTAATTTGTGTGGGATAGCTAATAAAAGACTTGAAAAATGTGGATAGCTTAAAAAAGTATTGCAGTTTATAGCAATGGTTATGGGGAGAAACAGACTATGAGATTAAATTTTATATTGCAGTATGGAAGGATGATTCAGTTACCATAAATGCCAATTTCTTGCTATGCAGCCACACATGCTTAACTTTTATGTTCCTAGTCATAAGGAAGTAACACCAGTATCTTCATAAAGATGAATTAAAAAAAACATTAGAAGCTAACTGAATCTCTGAACTCAAAGAATAATTTATCTTAAAGCATGTGGATACACCTGAAAATGTCCTAGTGTTACAAAATATTGAGTGGAAAAAAATATGTTCACCTTTACTATTTTTATAAATAATTTAGGGTGGTGCACATACTCCTTCCTCTCATTTTCTACAATGACAGCCCTATGAGATTAGTTGATCTTAGAGAAAGTAACTGACCGAAAGTTACCCAACAAGCTTTCATGCCTAAAATGAGACAAGAACTCAGTCTTCTTGTTTCTAGCCTGTTGCTTTAACCACTAGATATATAGCTTATCCAGAAATTAAGGAATACTAATTCTCGTATTTCTGTTTATATCTGCCTACCACACATGCAGAGTATCTGCATCTCGGAAAACATCTGGTCAACTCATCACTGCGAATTACTTTTGGCAAACATACTCCTATTCTGTTGATGTGAAAGAGCAAGTATTGTATACTTTCATTTACAACAATTTTCCTACTAGAGTATCATTTAGTGCACTGAACTGCTAGCTTTTATAACTTTAATTAAAGCAATAGGCTTTTTTTTTGGTCAAAAGCTATAGACAGACTTTTAAGAGCAGAGTTTGGGCAATGTAACAAAATACCTGCCATTGCAGTCATAAAACAGCTATTTATCAAAAGGTAAACCTATCATCTGTATGAAAAGTAAAAAACTTTATTGTTTATAGCAATACCTCTTATTATAACAAAAACAATGCCACATACTTTATTAATCACATCAAAATTAGTTATTTTGAACCAACACAATGTGATGTGATGTTCGTCCATCATGTTCGAAGGGGACCTTGACATCTAACAGGTTGTGGGCTGTTTATGATCTGTCCGCAGGTGGCTGGTAAGGCCTATACAGGCACGAAATGTTCTGCCATATGTCGGACAGATATGTGGGCACAATTGTTGCAGCATTTGCAGAGTGCAAAGTGCTTTGCAGAGTGCTTGCTTGTCTTGTGCTATGGTTGTTCTTATGTCCTCAGATATCTGGCAGCCTTGGTGGATCAGTATGCACCATGTCAATTGATCTTGTGGCAGGGTTTTCCAGGAGGTGATGTTGATATCCAGGGACTTGAAGGAGGCTTTCAACATGTCTTTTTATTGCTTCCTTTGTCCCCTGTGTGATCACTTTCCTTGAGGCAGCTGACCATAGAGGAGTTGTTTAGGGATGTGATGATCTGGCATCTTTGCAACATGGCCCAGCGTGTCTGGGCTTTCATCAGCAGGGTGTGAACTGATGGCAGGCCTGCTCTGGAGAGGATTTCTGTGTCTGGTACTTTGTCCTGCCACCAGATTCTCAGTATTCTACAGAGGCAGGTCATGTGGAAGTGGTTCAATTGCCTAGTGTGCCTAGTGTATACAGTCCAAGTCTCACTGGGATAAATCAGGGTAGTTAATACTACTGCTCCATAGACTTTGAGCTTTACAGCAAGGCACAACTTGCCATGGTGGAAGTTGACCTCAATGTTAATTGTCACTGCACAGGAGAGAGTGCTGCCAAGATATGTGAATTGGTCAACTGCTTGAAGCTTTTGTCCCTTGGTGGGCTCTTGCTGTTGGGCTTTTGGAGCTGGTTGATGCAACATTTAGGTCTTCTTTATATTGATGAGGAAGCTGAAATTGTTACATGCCAGTACAAATTTGTCCACGCTGGCTTGCATTTCCTACTCTGATCCAGCATTTAGGGCACAGGCGTCAGCAAAGAGATGGTCATGTAGCACCTTTATCCTTTATCTTGGTGACAGCCTGGAGCCTTCGCAGGTTGAAGTTTCCCATAGGTCCTGTATCTCAGGCTAACTCCCAAAGAACTGCTCTGGAAGGCATCTTACAGCATGGCTGAAAACATGCTGAACAAGGTTGGTGCCAACACACACCCTTGCTTGATGCCATTTGTAGCAGGAAAGGCCTCTGAAGCTTCTCCATTGTCCAGAACACAAGCTGTCATACCATCAGGAACTGACATACTACCAGGGCACCCAAACTTCAACATGATGTACCACAGATCTTTGTGACTGACAATGTCAAAAGCCTCAATGAGATCCACAATGGTGGTATACAAATCATGATTCTGCTCTTGACACTTCTCTTGGAGCTGTCAGACTGTGAATATCGTGTCCACAGTGCCATGTTCTTTGCAGAAACTGCACTGTTGTCTCAAGTAATAAACCCTGTTCCAGATGGTCAGCAACACTTGTGCAAGGATCTTGCCTGAGATGGAAAGCAGTGATATTCCTCTACGATTATCGCAGACTTGACAATTCCTTTTCCTCTTGGAAAAGGACACATGGACACATCTTTCTGTTCCTGAGAAATGGATCCTTGATTGATTCCAGAAAGACTGGAACAGCTGAGTGAGTTTGTCAACAAGCACTGGACTGCATCCTTATAGATCTCCATTGGGATTGCATCAGATCTTGGGTCCTTCTCACTGAACAGCTGGTTGATGGCCTGTAGGATTTCAGTCTTTGGTGGTGGGGTTTCCAGGCTGTGGTTGATATCCACCTGTGTATTCTGTCTATTGTGTCATTGTTGATGGAAGATGGGTGGTTCAATATGGATTGGAAGTGCTCAGTCCATCGCTGTAGAATGAGTCCCTTCTCAGTAACGAGTTGCACAACCTGAATTCAGTAGGGGGGGAGCTCCCTGAGGCTGAGGTCCATACAAGGATTTGATGGCTTCGTAGAACTATTTAGCATCATTTCTGTCAGCAAGCTTCTGAATTTCATCTGCTTGGGTACTCAACCAGGAGTCCTGCATCTTTGCTCTGTACAGTCCTGCAAGTGTTGTTGCAGGCATTTTCTTAGCTGTTGATTACGGGTCATTCTGATAAACATGGTGAAGGCTGTGCTTTTCAGCAAGCAGGGCCTTGATCTCTTCATCGTTTTCATCAAACCAGTCCTGCAGTTTCTTGTGTGAGGGTCCAAGAACATTTAGTGCAGAAGAGTGCACAATATCATGAAAGCATTCCCAGTTCTCAGCATTTCCCTATAATTGCAGCTCTGAGAGTTGGTTGTCAAGATCTGCTAGTGAAGCTGTTGTGTTGGGGTTCCTCAATTTACTGACGTTGATCCGTTTTATCACAGCTTTGTTTCCCTGCGGAGGTCTCTTTGGCTTGATGTGAAAGCTTAATTTGGAGATGATGAGTCTATGGTCAGTCCAACAATCAGAGCTCAGCATGGCCTTGGTGACCCTTATATCTTGTCTGTCTTTTCTCCACACAAGATAATCAATAAGATGCCAATGCTTGAAGCGGGGGTGCATCCAGGACGCTTTTTGTGAGTGGGCAGGAGAAAGATGGTATTGGTGATAATCAGATCATGAGCTGCACATGTATTCAGTAGTAATAGGCCATTGCTGTTACATTTGACAATTCCATTTTTTCCAATGACACCATCCCAGGCAGAGTAATCGGATCCTACTCTCGCATGGAAATCGCCAAGTAGAGTCAGCCTGTTGGTGTACTTCACGGATGAAATTAGGGCATCGAGATTTTCATAAAACTTATTCTTTACTTCATTCGGATTTGTCACTGTGGGTGCATAGGCACTGATGTAACTTGTTTTCCTCTTGGTAGTGGGAGATGCAGTGTCATGAGATGGTCATTTATGCCTTGGGTAGATTGACAAGTTTGCAGACAAGGTGATTCTTAACTGCAAAGCCAACTTCAGATTCATGGCGTTCGTTGTTGCTGCGTCCACACCAGAAGAATGTATAACCACATCCTTTTTCTGTATGCTAACCTTTGTTGGCTAGACGAGCCACTCAGGTAGACAAAGCTATTGCTTTGGTCAGCAAGAAGATGACCATTAGACCTGAGTTACCTGTGTGCAAGTCTGCGGCTACAACTACTAGTATATCCACAATTGCTGCTTTATCGCTTGCTCACGGAAATTGGGGAATGTCAAGACTTGCATGTGAATTGGATTCAAGTGAGGGAGAGGTGCGCATAGTCAGCCTCACTCTCTCTTCCCAGATTCCATGTTGCTCCAATATACACATCTTCACAAGCACGTAAAAATTGTTAAGACTAAACATTCACATTTGAGCACATACTTTCCTATCAGTGAGAAGTGACAAAGATTTTACAAGAATATTAGTTTAATAGCAACATCCACATTAAATCAAAGGGTACTTGTTGAAACAAACATATCAAACAAGTTCTTTTAGTTGTGAAAAAAGCTGTAGACTTGTTTTCACAGGTGATATGAATTACAGCTGGTTTTACAATGCAAAATCTGTACATCCTTGTTTGCATAAAAAATTAATACAGGAAAGAGGTTTTAAAAATAAAACTAATGATGATGGATTGATAGCACTACATACCAAATACCTTTTTGGTGGGGGGAGGAAAAAAGCAAAACATTGGCCAACTAATTAAATAGCCAAGATTAAGGGACAAATTAAGTGAAATAGCAATAGAATGGAAACCAAATATACTTTTACACATCCGTGTAATTTTTCTTTGATGCAAGGCCAAAATATAATAACTTCTTGTAATCAAGTCCTATTACTCCATCAAGTGGAAAACAAGAAAAATGCACTTGTGAGAAATGAACATATTAATTCAAGTGTTACATTTTTGATGTCTTTTTTAGATCTCTAGCATTTTCTTAACTCCTATATAAACAATGTTTTGAAGAAAGGACTTGTATCTGAATTCCATCTCTATTTGGTCTCAACATGCAGCATTGTGGACTTAACTACCCCCATAATCTTCCTTATTTAGAAAAATACACTAGCATTAGATAGGTTTACTTTACTTTGTCATCATGCCAATTTCTGTTGTGGATTCACAACAATCTTGCAATACACAAGCAGCTGCTAATGCCAAGAAGTAAGTATTGTCAAGAAGCATTTTCCTACAGTATTTTAGTAATTTTAATGGGTTTGCTTTTAATGTTTTTATTACTAAATTTGTATGCTGACCAATTCCCTGATTTTGGGCAGCTCACAGTAAAAGTATTTTAAAAAAATATACCATCAGAAATAAAAAAATAAGGAATAAATTTTTTCCAGGTCCCATTCTAATTTCCACATTAAAATCTTATGTAGGTAGCTTAGTCATTCAGCAGAGAAAATATCTATAAGAGCAACTGTTCATATTTTTCATATGGAGTAGCATCTTAAGTAGGATTCTGTCAGGTCAGAAAAAGAAAAGGAAAGAACAATCCTGTCACTCTATCAAGAAGTTAGATTCTTCAGATCAGCCTTTCCCCAAAAGCCATTCATCAGACAATAGGAGAATTTGTCTCCAGCTAACATGATTATCAGTGTCAACAGCAAACTCTTATATAAAAGTGACGTGATGAATAGTGATGTATCATACAAATACATAAGTTGTGACATTTGCATGATGACACTGCTTCACAATGCATCGTTTGCCATGTTTCTAACAGGTCTGCAACAACCACCTGAAGTAATGTTAAGAAGATGGCATAATTACTAGCTATAATAACATCTATATAAAAGTTGAGTGTTATTTGTTTAAGTGATGTATGTCTCAGCTGTAATGCCAAAAGTAGTATTGATTTCTTTTTACTCACCTGGGAACCACTTTCTAACTAAAACATAAATTATAAGCATTTTAAATACTGTAAATATATTATTTCAATATGTCTCAATTACTATTTGCTATCTGTATTATGAGCTAATTTTTATGGGATTTTCTAAAAGCTGGCTCTTATCTTTATTGCAAGTAAATCACAGGGAAAGATAAAAACATAAAAACCTTAATGGGCCTCAATCTATTAGCACTTATATGAAGAAGATAAGTTAGTTGATAACAACTTTCCAAAATATACTTTTCTTCAGCTTAAAATTCTATATTTTTATCCTATGATACACCTATTTACATACCCATATTCCTTATCTATTCAAAAATACTACTTCAGTTTTTCATTTACAGGAATAAACGCACTGTGTTAGATGCAAGTTTTGTCATATTTAGAAATAACAACTAAAATCAAGAAGTGTCACAATCAAATTCTATAGGTAAATCTACCTCAATCTATTCCAATATCCAAAATAGCACCTGTGGCACCAGTGAATAAAGAGCCAAGTAAGCCTAACAGTTAAGACATTAGAAATTATTTTACTTTGCTAGCAAGACATTTTGCACATTATTTCTCAAGCTGTTTACATGGGGCATTGGACTGCAATTATCAAAATTCTCAACCACCATAGCTAATATGTGCCCAACATATTAGAAAGCAAAGGCTGTGAAAAGCTAATTTTAAAAATAGAGTAAAACATACCTTCAGAAGAAAGATCTGTCCTATCCCTCATAATAATTTAACAAAATGTCTGAGAGAAGAAAAGTTACTTATTATAAGATCATTAATAATCTTATTTGGCCTATTTGAATAGGTGGATGATGATAGGACAACATTTAAAGTTTCTTTGACCCATACAGAAATCAAAATCAACACTTGAAAAGCAATACATGATTGAGTATCAGAGTAAAGTACAGTATCTTATATAGCCTGCTCTGCATTTTTGACCAATTATCAATTATGTATGTTTGGCAAAGACAGCCATGTGCTAAGTAAAGTAAATGTGAGATGCATTAATTGAGTGACATAATTCTTATCCAAAACAATTACTTTTCTTTGACTTCAATAAGCTACCCAAAAGGACTTAGCTGAAATGCATTAAAAATAAATAAAAGCATACCTATGGATATTTTGCTGTTGGATAAGCTCTCCATTTATTAAACTTTCTTGGGATTCAACCTGAAAGGAAGTCAAAACAAAGAGATCCTATTGGCTTTTTACAGATGTGCCTCACTTGTACAAAGAAAAAATAAACCTGTTCAAGACATACCAAAAACGCTTAGCATTAATAATTTTGTTTGATTTTAAAAAAAAATTGCAGTTGCATTTAACTTCCCTTTCTGAATCCCATAAAAGTGTATTATAAATACCATGAACAAATGTAAATGCAGTAGAATTTTTTAAAAAGAGTAAGTGTGTGAACCTCTCCCACATAATTGGAGCAGACTTCTGGGTTCTGGATATTCTGAATGACTATGAATTGGGATTTAATTTATTAATTTATCATATTTGATTCTTCCATTTGATATATTAAGCTCACAGTGCCAAATTCATTATATATTACATATTGTAGAAGCATCCAATGACTAAGAAAGATACATATATTGTTTGGATATGGAAGCAAGAACAGGAAACCACAATTAAAATTGCATTGTTATACACAGTAATTTGAAAGTAACCTCTAGAAACAAACATTTGAACATTGTGCACTCAAGTGCACTCTGAATATTTTACAAGTTAGACAGAAAAATACTTAATATGTTTTAAATAATTATTTTTACTGGAATACTGGTAAATATTTTTAGAAATGACAACTGAATAATGTTTTCTCATCCTATGTAAATATTAATGAATTATCTGAAAGTATACAATTTTAAATATGCTTTTGTATTTCAGATCTATGCAAGGATATTTTCCTGACCATATTATTCAGTATGCATTTTTATAAAATAGTTCTTCCTGCAAAAACAATATTTTAAGAAATATTTCCATTCCATTTTTTAAAATCTTATTGCACAATATTTGCACAATATCTCTAATTCTAATTTAAATGTTTCCAAGTACAGCTCCCTAAGACCATTTTCTTTTGGTCATGTTAAAACATGCCAGTTTAGAGTGGTTGATATACAATGGCTGAATTCACATTTCATGTGAGCTTAGGATTTTTTAACAATACATTCTTGAACAAATTTTGAAGTTCATACTGCTAAGTCACATTGGATAGGATCACACATTATGTTAAGAAAAAAAACAACCACCCCTAAATCACAAAACAATTTATTAAAATTATTTCATTTCTAATCTTTCCAATAATTGGAATCCTCTGGCTTACTTAAATCAATTTTAAAACAATATATGTTGAACCTTGGCTTTAAGTATCAAAGTATTTAGAAAAATTACTACTATCATATTTTTCAGAGTATAAGACGCACCGGAGTATAAGACGCACCAAGGTTTTGAACAGGCAAATTTTTAAAAAAAGTTTTTGCACTCTGCAAACCTCCCAAAACGGCCCATTTTTTGTGAAAACAGCCCCCCCCCAAAGGAATGAATAAACTTTAGGGGGCTTCCAGAGTGCTCCTGTGGAGTGGAAGGGTACAATTGAGCAAAAAATGGCCATTTTTCACACATTTCTGCCCTCCCCAGCCCCCAGGAGCTCTCTGAAAGCCTTCTACTGGCTCTGTATCGCCATTTTGGTGAAGGGGGCAGGGTTTCGGGAGGCAAAACATGTTATATTCAGTGTATAAGATGCACCCAGATTTTCAGCTTCTTTTTTGAGGGGGAAAAGGTGCGTCTTATACTTTGAAAAATACTGTAATTTGCTCCTTCCATTAGCAACTTAAATAAATATCATTGTACAAGATTGCTTAAGATACAGGTTAAGATTTAAATGTTAGTTTGATATAATCAATGTGATTCTATGTATGTCATGCTACAGTTCTTAAGTCATACATAATTTTAGAGCTAAGAGTTTATTGAAAAGGATGAACATGGCAAATATATAAAAACTCCACATTAAAAACAAAACTTAGATTACTATCTTCTGAGAAATAATTGAAATAAAGTTTGAAATGAACAATTCTACTGTAATCAATAGATTCAAAAATAAGCATCATTAATTACATAGTTCAGCAAATTTTAGACAGCAGATTGGAAAATACAAGAGAATTATCAAGCTGCAATTATTAGGCTACTTTTGGCATTTTGCTTTTATCACCATCTAGTGGAGTTCTCAAAATATACAGTCTAAATTCACCAGATAAGGGTAAACTAAGGTACATTTTTAAACCTACCAAAATAACAGTAATTGTAATCATCTTATTAGGACTAAAATGAACTAAAGGTATAGAGACACAAAGCCTGTTTTTGAGACTATTTAGAAATGATACCAAAAGTCACTGAACTTTTGAAAACAAAAAATTAGAAGTCTCGATAAACATTCATATAGTTTACCAAAACATGTTGATTCCATTAAAATAGGAGGGAGAAATTGTACATATCAACATTTAATTTTACCCCTTTATGTACCCTTCTTATGGCAGAAATCATAATGTAGAAATACTTTCCTTACAGATTTTTGCAATTCCTTCCTAAGATGGTTGCATTCTTCCCTCAGTTTCTCCAAATCCACTTCCAAATTGTGCATCTTCAGCTCACTGTTCAGTTTGTCTATTTCCCAGTTAGATGGGTTAGAATTGAAACTCTTCATCACTGAAAGGAAACAAGACCTTTATTTTCTCAGAATAGTCAAATTAGATAATGAAAATGGAGCTAAAATTCATTTCTCATATATCTTTCTGTGAATATGGTGATAAATATGAATCCATTCTTACTTTTTTTACCAATCAAGTGAGTATGTTAATAAATCATAAGCTAAGGAAGAGTTCACATAGAAATGTACTGTAATTCTTTAATATCTAATGTTCTCTAATATAAAGACACAAAATCTTCAATACATTACCAGTTTTTTAAAAAATTAAAAAGACTGAATATATTACTTTATAACAAAATGCATACGTTTTACAATATAAAAATCATTAATCTTCAATAATAATTTCAATCAGTGAATTTTTAATTGGGACCAACATAGCAAATCTGTAGAATTATCCAAGGCAACAGTCACCCAATATTAATGAAAGGGTTTCAATTGTTCAAGCTTGAGACTAACATACCAATTGGATAATCATGATAATTTATTTAATTTATTTTTACAGGGCTTACAGACTGTTCTAATAAGCTAACCGATTCTGTGTGGCATACAACACCCCAATATATAATTCGGATTAAACCAGTGAATCAAAGCAATATATTGTAATAGCATAAAACTGAAATAGAAAATCAGTTCATATTTCGCAGTAATACAAGTAATTCCTGGGTTACAAGTATTTCCTTAGCTTGAAATTATGTGATAAGCGCCCCTAGCATTTACGAACAAGCCCCAAAATATTGCAGCACCATGGCAGTTATTCACTATTACGAATGACCATAGAGGCTCTGCAACATTAGCTCCAACTATTTCCCCATCCTCCAGCTGGGTCTTCACAGTCACTTTCACTGTGGATACTCATTTATTTTGTGAAGATCTCCTCTCTGTTGAGGTTTCTTTGCCTGCTTCATTTCTTCAGACTTTTGGTGAATTCGCCGAGAACAGATGTAACATGAGATCATGTGAGATCAGTAGCACAAGATTTCATGCTACTGATCTTGTGTGAGTTCATACTTTAGGCCTCTATTCTCTGCAAATTGAGGCCTGTATGTTTGCAAATGAATAGAAGGTTTTGGTCCTTCAGGCCTTCCTTCCATTTGTTGTTTCCTTGCTGAAGCCTTCAGGGAGATTGTGTTCCTATAGGCTTTGGCAGCCCTTTGCAAAAAGCCTTTGTTGGCATCAGTGGAGCTTGGGACAGGCGGACACCTCCCTCTGAAGTTCTGTTCCTCCCAGCAAAGGCTTTTTAAAAAGGATTGCCAAAGCCCACAGGGACGCAATACTCAAGTCCTTTGATTTGATAAGAAAGGAGGCCTGGAGGTGCATGCACGGTCTTCTGGGCTTCCTTTCGACAGAGATCCACTTGACAAGACCTCTGGCAATGAAAAAGGAGACCCGCAGCCCGTGCATGGCCTTCCACCTCCTTTCTTACCGGAGATCCACTTGATGAGACTTCCAGCAATGAAAGAAGATGCCCGTGCATGGCCTGCCAGACTTCTTTTCTCACTGGAGATTTGTTTGATGAGGTTTCTGATGAGGCCCAGAGACCCGCAAATGGCCTTCCGGGCATCCTTTCTCACCGGAGATCCACTTAATGAGGCCTCCAGCGATGATAAAGTGGACCTGGAAGGCTTCGTGCAGGTCTCTGGTTCTCCTTTTTCGTCACCAGAGGCCTCATCAAGTCCTTTGCTGATGAGAAAGGAAGAAGCAGGCAAAGAAACAGGTTGGAGAGGAGACTCATCTTCATAACGTAAATCACCTGAATTGCGGGGGGAGAGGTTTGAAGCAATTGTGAGGTCCCCAGGGAAGGGAGAATGAAGAATCTGAGGATCAGAGGAGGCCTTGGATAGTCTTAAGAAGCAGGTGGCCTGTTCCATCACTAGGTCCCCTCCATGGCCTTTCCCACCCCAAGATACCTCATCTGGACTTAAAGAGCCACATATTCGATTATCAAATGGGTGAGTGAAATACAGCTGGGAGAAAACACTCCTAAAGATACCAGGCGATGACCAAGTTCCCCAGGCATTCGACAACTTAACTTACTCAGCCAGGAGCCGAAAGATAAAGTTGAGTATTATTTGCATTCTTGTGCATGCTTATTATTATGCTTGCTTATTATTATATAAGCAGTAAAGATTTTTCAGCTAAGTCTTTAAAAAATATGGTTTCTTGAGAGGAGAGTTACCCCATCTTAAGACAAATATATAATTACTACTGAATTTTTTCTTCACAAATCTTTCATCAGATTTGTTTCTATGGCAGTGTTTCAATTTATAGTTTCTTTTAAAACTTCAAATACTATAATATAAACAAGACATATCTATTTTAAGCACTCTTAATATTTAGGTCTGGCACCGGCTCTGTTCTAATCTATAAAACAAAGCATGATTTCCAGAACTGTTAATGGTTTGGGGTAATACTACTCTTCAGTACAGGATCTCTAGATTGGGTACTGGAGACATTGTGCTTATGTAATTAAATAATTTTGACAGCCAAGTTCAGAAAAGCTGCTGGGTAAACATTGACTTCGTTGCCTGAAATCACTTTAATTTGCCCTCTTCTGAGTTTCAGATGTCAATATGATATTTCTGAATGAAGCTATCAAAATTCTGGGGTGAAGCATCATAAAGTAGAGAAGTGCAAAATGTTTCAATTGGCTCTGTCTACCATAAGACTGGAATAGAATGTATTGAGCTGAAATATTTCAGAGTTTTATCAGATATATATGGGTATCACCTGATTGTATATTTTCATGATACATGTAAAGCTATGGTAGCATTAAGTGATGCAGGGATGCAATAATGAATTTTTGTGGTCAATAAATAGAATCTCAATCCCCCCCCCCAAAAAAAAATGCTAGGGTGATAAATGGTTCTCTTGACCAAATTAACAGTCATTTTGTACTTGAGTAGACTGTATTCCACACAAACCTCAATAAGAAGTCTGCAATATTAGGATATCCAAACCAAAGCTGTTATTAAAAAAATTAAGCTATCTCTGAAGCACGGATTGGTGCACTAGCCTCAATCCATCTAATGAGAAAGAAGTGGGGTTTAGTGAGCCACATTGAAATCATTACTGAATTACATTGCTCCTAATTTTGAATCTGCCTTTAAAGATGGTTCAGCAACTGCAATTAGATCAAAATACAATCACAAATTGCAGAACTGGGACATTTCATGATTTAACATATTGCTTCTATGTTACCAACTGTAAAATTAACCCAGTTTATTCCAGGCTCAACTAAGTCCTTGTTTTGATGACTAAAACACAGTGGTTTAGAGATGTAGTATCTAAAGTTTCCTTATCTTTACATAGGTACAATAAGAATGAGCCCAATTCTTTACTTATAGATGGGCCTACTTAGAATTGGCTTAGAATTCTCTCTCCAGTGAGAGAAGCCTATACCAGCTTGGCTGTTGCTCTTGTACCAACTTAAGACATGTTTCTAAATTTTTATGACAAAAGAAATGTTTTGCACTAAATTCTCACGTTATGAAATTGCTCTAAGATGCATACATTGTTATCATTATTTGTTGAATTTATATCCTGTTACAGTCACCCGGTGAGCTTCCATTGTTGACATATGAAGTTGGGTCTCCCAGTCTTAATCAATACTTTCCAATACTTTAATCACTACTGAACATTATATCACACCAGTAATAACCATTTCTCAGTTACATAAAAATTAACTTTAAAAAAGGATTGCAGGTCATAGCACTTGGCATATATGGATACTGTTATACACTCAGATAGACAAAGTGCACCTTGTTGAGTTTCCACTTCTGTTCTTAGCTGTAAAAGTTCTACTTCTTTAGACTGCAACTGCTCATTCAAGATTTTCACATATTCCATGTTCTCTTTCATCTAATTTGAGAAATATATAAATTATCAGGGCTTTATTATTATTCCAGTTGAAGTCTCAGTCTAAAGATCAGTTGGTTCTTCATAAAGATCTGGCCAAATTACTATACTATTGTTACTGTTTCAAAAGCACTATCAGTTGAAAAAGAAAATAGCACATGATTACCCTTCATGCATCCTGAAAATTTTTTGCTTTTAGGGGGAAGAAAAATGTTGTTAATTACTAATAATCAATTAATTAAATAATACATCACATTGAACTCAGTTAGCTGGCATGCTTTCCAAATTGATCATCAGCTTTTCATTCAATCTATTTTTCATCAAGTTTTTGCACTCCACTTAATTTTTAAAAAGATATAAATGATAGTCCTTGACTTACCACAATTGAGCCCAAAATTTATATTACTAAATGAGACATTTTAAGTGAGTTTTGCCCCATTTTATGATCTTTCTTGCTATAGTTGTTAGTTGAATCACTGGAGTTGTTAGGTTAGTAACATGGTTGTTAAATGAATCTGGCTTCCCCATTGACTTTGCTTGTCAGAAAGTTGCAAAAGAAAGTTGCAAAAGATGATCACATAACCACAGGACACAACAAAGTCATAGATATGAGCCAGATAACAAGCCTAAATCTAAATCTGTCTAAATTTTGATCAAGTGACCATGAAGATGCTGCAATGGTAATAAGTAACTTCAAATGGTAACTTCAAATGGTCATTAATCGAGTTGTTGTAAATCAAGGACTACCTGTAGTCATTTGTACTGAATCACTGGCGCTTAGACAACCTATGTTTTAATATGAACATTACTTTCATTCATTCAAACAGCAAATTCATACATTTAATATCAGAACAATTAGGAGAAAATGGGGTTACTGTAAAAAAAAGAAAATATCAATGAAGATGGATGCAGAAATTCAGTATTTTTTAAAATCTAGGAATGATTTAAGCCACATGTAAGTATTCCTTAATCGAGTTGTTTTGATGTTTAAAAAAGGATACACACTCATTTTAAATCCATACATACAAATGAATATGAAGTTAATGCTTATCTTTTGCTAGATAATATTCAATGTCTTCACTGATCCAAACTTAATTTGTTACACAATGTTAAAATATTTTTCTACATGAGATTTAATGCAACATTCTTGTTTTCTTTTATGCTACTCCAAAAGCATACCGTTTTATCCAGTTGACTTTTCAGATTATCTCGTTCAATACAAGATTCCCGATATGCTTGATAAGCTTTGTTAACTTGCTCACGACCCACAGAACTTGTTGCTTCTTCCAAATGAGATTCAAGAAGCTAAAAGATTACAACAAGATGTGACTTAACCATTATTCAAATACTTTCAATTAAGTGTTTAATGTTAAACCAAGTAAATTTTCTTAGTCCCAGCCAAAAGTATCAGGTAGTGACTTCCAAGTAGTGAATGTGTCTGTTTCACATGTGCTTAATTACTTTACACATTACTTAAGATAAAATCTAGTTTCTAAAAATCATACTTAATAATAATATTGAACGATATAACCCTGAAAGAAAAATACTTGCCTTTTCTTCTAACAATCTTACTCTTTTCTTTAAGAAAGAATTTTCTCTTTCTGTCTCTTTCAAACGCTTTTTAATATCTTCATAAGCAGTGACAAGGGCAAAATGTGAAGCAACTGATTCTTCTCCTGAAAACACTGGAGTAGGAAATTGTCCATCTTGTCTGTGATGAGTGTCTGCTTTTTCATGGTTCAGGATATCAATGTCATCCTCAGCTAGTTCTTCCATGATAGCTAAATAAAAATAATAACAATATTGTTAAGCATTCACTAAGTATATACATACATACATACATACATTCATTCATACATACATACATACATACATACATGGCATTTGTTGGAGTTTTGCAATTCTGACAAAATATTGGGCTACATCCAATCCTATTTGAATTATCTTCCATAGAACAACAGGATTGCCTCTTAATCTTCTACTCTTCCTGCTACTCACCCTTCTACCATCTGCTTTGGCACGCCTTCCAACATTCCGGAGAAGAATTGGAAAGGGCTGGAGTGTATACATAGGAACAGATTTATCTGTTCTTTGCTTCCATGCCATTCTTCTAAAGTGTAGATGTAATGGAACCTGAGCAACTTTCCCAAAAACTCCTTTAAATAAAACTCCTATAAATAAAAGCAATCTAATCTAATCTTTTCCTAAAATTTCTACTTAAAGATGGCTATTTTGAAAAGGAAGAGCACAATTTGGATTTATGGAATGTTAATGTACTGTTGAAGTTTTATTTATCATCTCATTTTCATATTTCAGTATATTTTCACTACATATCATTGAAAAATGACACTGAAGGAAAAACAATGTGATAATGCCCTTCAAAAAAGATTTTTTTAAAAAAAATCAATATATTTCTATTAACCAGTTTTCAGAAAATGTAAGAGACTGCCCACCTTAAAGATAAAGTATTTGGAAGAAAATCTAGATTTCATTCAAATGTAACAGCAATATAAAATATAATTGAAATGTAAAAAAAAATAATTAAACCCTCAAAATTTAAAAATTTAAAAGTATATAACCAGAATATGTGGAAGTAAAATATATATTCAACAAAAACATCCACTTAAAAGCTAATCCCACTAAAAAGTATTGTTACAAAAGTATTGAAAAAGAGCTATTTCAGTTTGGTTTAGCAATATTGGATAATGGCATTTCATCCAAAGGCTTTAAGCAGAGACTTACAAAAGTTGCTGACACTTTCCCCTTTGAGTAAGTTACATTAATTTCCATTTAGCATCAATTCTTGTCTTAAATTTTAGATATATTGTTAGCTTTCAGAGAAGAAATACCCATAAAATGGCATTAAGAGTTATTAACCTAATCTTATGAAGCTTCTCCTCTGGTAACATCATATTGCTAACTAGGGCATACAAAACCTTTGCCAGACCCTCGAATACAGCTCATCTGTCTGGAATCAGCACTGTATATTGGACATTAATACAATTGAGCGAGTCCAGGAGTATTTCACCAGAAGAATACTACATTCCTCTGCTTGCAACAGAATACCCTATATTACCAGGCTTGAAATTTTGGGCTTAGACAACCTAGAACAGTGATGGCGAAACTATGGCACGCATGCCACAGATGAAATGTGAAGCCATTTGTCAAGGCATGCGAGTCGTTGCCCTGTCAACGCCAGTGCACATGCATGCACTGGCCAGCTGAAGTCAGGCCTTCTTTTGAGGCAATTTTCCTCCCTCCGGAAGCTTCCCTGAAGCCTCTGCAGGGCAAAAAACACCCCTACGAGCAAACCAGAAGTCCGTTTCTGAACTTTCGGTTTGCCCATAGGGCTGGTTTTTCACCCTCCGGAGGCTTCAGGGTAACTCCTGTAGCCTGGGGGGGGGGGGCATGGAGGCTGTTTTTGCACTCTCCAGGCTCCTAGAAAGCCTCTGAATCCTGGGGAGGGCAATAAGAGTGCCAAAAGCAGGGGGAGCGCTGGTCGCATGCATGTGCACAGAGGGGAGAAGCATGCACATGTATGGCACACCTGAGCACAACCCCCTTGCACTCCCCCCACTTTTGGCATGTGAGCCAAAAAAAGTTCACTATCACTGACCCTAAAACTATGCTGCCTACGCTTGGACTTAAGTGCAGTACACAAAATTATCCGCTATAACATCTTACGGTTCAACGACTACTTCAACCGCAATAATACAAGAGCACATAACAGATACAAACACAATGTAAACTGCTCCAAACTTGATTGCAAAAAATATGACTTCAGTAACAGAGTTATCATGTCTGGAATGCACTACCTGACACTGTGGTTTCTTCCCCAAACCCCGAAAACTTTAATTTTAGACTGTTTACTGTTGACCTCACCCCATTCCTAAGAGGTCTTTAAGGGGTGTGCATAAGCGCACCATCGTGCCTACAGTCCCTGTCCTACTGTCCACACTTATTCATATCCATTTCATTGACATTCATGTTTATTCTTATACTTATTATCTTGTAAACAATTGACAAATAAAATAAATAAAATGATCCCTTTGACTTGGCTTGAAAAATGGCCCCAAAAGTCATCTATGTTAAAATTTAATAATCCTTTCTCAACAGAAGGGGAAGGACAAGACATCACCCACCACCAGGCCTCAATACAGTCCTTTCAGCCGTTCCAGGAAGGTTCCACACTCATTTGCACTCTGATTCAGGTGACCCTGAGAATATAGATTAACTTCCCCCCAAGTGACCTCAATGATTCTCAGATAGCGAACACTAACAGCCAGATGATTGCAAAGAATACAAAATGTTCTATTCATTCAGCATTCAGTCAGAACTGAAGAAGCTTCTTGGATGAGAAGCCTTTTGAAAAGCACCAATGGGACAACCATGACCCAGATAATTGTGAATCTCCATAGATAGATAGATATATGACTCTTTTCTCCAGAAGAGGTGAGTTGAGAGAGGGAGCAAAATTGGCATGGTTTCAGTAAGCCCTTACACATCTATGGTAGACTTAAACTTGGGTCTCTTCTATTTACGATAATATCTTGATTACTATGTCATTCTGGCTGTTTTGGTGATGACCATGTTAATTATATATTGCCTTCAAAAAATATCTAAATTATTGTCACCAAGAAAGTGGAGGTTTATTGGTTTTTGTACTGGGCCTTTTGTTTTTGTAAGCCACCCAGGATCACTATGTGTTGTGTAGCCACATACATTTTCTTAATACTTCTTTCATGAATACTCAATCAATGCAATAGCTGGTGAAGACTGACTTTTTGAAGAGAATTTATAAAAAGGAACATTATAGGTACCTAAAAGTGATTCTTTCATACAAAAGAATCAACTGAAAAGAGTTGGGTTTGAAAATACATTTTTAGGAAGAGGATTCTATATAATGAGACATTTAAACTTGTATTGTAACAGGTCAAGTACTAAGCAGGTAGGTTGGAGAAGAACAGATATCTTCAAAATTTTACAGAAAGATGTAAATTTATTACAACAGAATTTATCTTTATGTAGTATCAGAGAGTAAACCAAATCTTGAATATGTTCATCTAATTCTGACTGTTTAACCTAACTTTCAAATAAGCTTTTCCGTGTCTCCAGTCTCAGATTTTTTTCAATAAATATAATGCATTAATTATTTTTAAAGTTATTCTTCTCATTATTTAATGAGAAGGTGCTGTCATTTTGGTTCTAATTCTGTTGTTAGAAACTAAAGGAGGAGATATAGATAAGCATGGAATATATAAACTAAAAAAGCATCCCAGTAATTCCTAAGGCTTCTTATGTAACAGTGAAACTTAAAAGAACCAAAGTTAGATTTAAAATATTAAAAAATAATAGGAATGAGGAGTCAATTAAATTCTCTTAAGTCATTAAACAAACAAATCTCAAAATAACACATATGTTGAAGCATTTAGATAACAGTACTTTAAAAAAGGTAGAAATTCCTTAAAATTAAGCTTTGGGTATTCATACATCTCTAGCTTTCACTTCCACTCTTGGTTACCATATATTCCCACTTATTGTAACTTCCTTCATACCAAAAGTAAAAAAGGCAGAAAGCCTTTGCCCATTCCTTTCTCAAATACAAGTCATTTTTGACCACAACTGGACCTGGCAGCTCAGTCATTAGGCGAAGCAATCACTAAGTAAAATCACAACTGTGTTTAAAATCTTGCTTTGGCTTACCTTTGCTTTAGAGATTTACAAATATCATAAATGTGAAGATTGATTGCATCACCACTGTAACTGCAAAGAGTCACTAAATGAGGCCATCACTAAATGAGGTATAGCTATATTCCAAACTGAGTGCTTATCCCAACCTACAATTTATTCTGCAAAGCTTAACTGTGCCTATTCACAAACAGCACTGACATTTTCTTGCATCTTTTATTTGAAATGTACATTGCTATTGGCCATGTTGAGGTAACTGAACAAAAGGACATGTTATCTGGTCTGATTATTCCTGATAACTTCCATAAATGGATAGCATACTTCCCTTTCTGAAATGCTGTCAGATATTTTTCATTCTATTTCTCCTTATTCTTTCATTAACAATCAAATTAAAATAACAAAGATTCAGTTCTAAGTACATGCAAGGACAAGGACATGTCAAAACTGAAAGTTCTAGACATTCACAGAGATGTTTCAAGGAAGTTTATTTATAAATCACATTTATAGATTGCTCAACTTATAACAATTCTAGGCAGCTATAAATGTGATTTATAAACAAAAAAAAATAGAGAATCTGAATTCTCATAAATAAAAGGAAAAGGAATACATGCTTGGCCTTTAGTATTTTGTGTATCAGACTAACAGTCCACCTAAAAGAAATTCTCTCATTTCTGGAAAAAAACAATTAGCAATAGTTAAGCAATTATTTTCAACATAAAGGAAAATTGCAATCTTGTGCATGCATAAACGGCAGCACGACTTGTTAAAATAAAAGACTCAGTTCCTGTAATATATTTTATTCGATAAAACCCAGCACAGGAATTTGCACAAAATGCCAAGGTTGGTTATGTTGACCTTGCTGTATGTTATTCACATGTAGATCTCATGGTCAGTTTGTGGTTCAATAAATTCTACAAAACCAATCAATGGGTTAATTCAATAACGAGTGCTGGAAACTCAGTGGCTAAGTGAACAAAACACTGGCCAGTGCTGAGCTAACCCATCCGAAATTGGGGCCACTATTTTGCTTGGGAGAAATAGGCCAAGCGACCATGGCCTTTTTCTTGGAAACTTGATTGACGCCCCTAGATTGACGGGCCAGGGAAGAGAGGCCAACAGGAGGGAAGACGCTGTGGAATGCAAAGAGTTACCTGCAGCCAGCAAGCTCGCGGCAGAAGTGGGCGGGGCCCTTTCGTCTCCGTACGCACCAGTTAACAGGACAGGGTCGCTGCGGGAGGAAGGGGGGGCAAGAAAGGGAGGCCACTTTAGCTTAGACTCCTCATCTTCTCCCCGCAGCCCAGAAGCAGATGTAACTTCAACCAAAGTTCCCCGCTGCTGCACGATGCCTTTCTTTCTGTTTCCTCCCTTCACTCCCTCAGACTCACCAGGAATCTCTGACTTCCATCACCTCACATGACAGTAACGTGTACAGGCAATAACCTCCCACTTCAGTGGGGGAAATGGGTATCAGTAGCGAGGCATGCCGGGATTCGTAGTCTCCTCACTAATTTTGCGACACCGTAGAACCGAAACCCGCCCCGGTAATTCTCTTCTGGGGCAGTTCTGTTCCCGGCATGCAGTGGGGGGGGAGGGGGAGAAAACAAGGAGAGAAGGGAAATGTAGTCCGTCGTTGCCGGCGGAATGCTACGGAACTACCTCTCGTGGTGAGGTATGGTCTTTATTTCCCCTCAGAGGAGAAAAGGCTGCTTGCAATCTATTTCGTTTTCTCGCTGCGAAATAGCAGCCTTCTATTTGTTCATATCATATGCATGAATTGTACAGAAATTTAATAACAGCGTTGTCAGTGCATTGAACAAAAGAAAATGAAACCAATCAGATAAAGCAACAGCTTACTGCACACGTGAAGAAGTCCCTCAACAACTACATCTACAATAATTGATCAAAAAACAAAAATTAACCTAAAAAGAGGAAAAACAATAAAAAATAATTCTGAGGCAATATTGTTACTAAAAATTGTATATTTTGCATCTGTTTTTAAGGCTGATGACATTTGGAAGCTTGAAAGATTGCAATTGCCCATCTATTCTTCGCCTATATAAATCATTGGCTTAAAATTGGTCATCAGTACAACTTTTAGATTAAAGTATTGTATATGGTTGGAATTAAAATGTTACAAAGATAGCTTTTACATGTTTGGGAAATCATTTCACAATTGAAGCAATATCAAACACTTTCCAATTGAGAAAGAAGTGGGAAAAGAGTTTTTGTTGAAGATGTTAAATTATAGAAAACTACATATGGACAAACATCAATTTATTTAATGTAATCTGTAGGCTTCATTTTAGAATTAAATCTTTCCAGATAAGTTTAAAATATATAAAACAATATGCATCAACATTCTGTATGTATATTACATGTGAACATATATGTCAGAATAATATAGTGTAATGTATATGACATTCTGAGATATATAATTCATTCTGAGATATATGTATAGGTCACATAATACACATACCTACATGCATTCATACATGTATTCATAAATATATGTTATGATTTCATCACTGAACTTTCAGAAGCTGATATTAATTGCAGGAAGTAATCTAAGGTCAAAATAAATAAAGATGAATTTTGTACAAAAATATAGTCACATTCCAATGAACCAAAATATTTTAAAGCAAAAAATTATTTTTTGCCAAAATGTAAAGGTAGAAAACAATACTATTCATAGGATATCAAACTAAAATGTATGGATATTATTCATCTTTAATTCCTGGTTTGTCCAATCACGCATGGCCAATAAAGAATTAGTCTATTCTATTCCATTCCAAGCTTGATTTGTATAAGGACGAACAGACATTTGTCATAGATGCCATGTGATTTATTTGCATTGCCTTTAAAGTAATGTAGAAAATCTAGTGCCACTGTAAAATCATGTGCAATAAAATTTAGTAAAAAAGCAGTGAGCTGCAGTAAAAAGATGGTGCAACTAACAGGTTAGGGAAGAAACAGTAGGAAGCAGGTATCATTAGTAAGTTGTATCTTTAGCCTGAAGCTGGTAACCTGAGATTGCTCTACAGGAGATATCTGAATCATTCCTGAATTGAATGAAGCCACCTTAGCTATAGAGTCAATTTAATGTGTCTTTTTCTTATTAGAAAGAACTATTGCCTAAAACTTTCTTCCTGGGCTCAGAGTATCAGTCACCCTAGCAAGGAAAATAATGGCTTCATTTCAGCTCCTTCTAAGAAACCCAGTCAAGACAGTATGCATCAGAGCAACATTATTCTGTAAATTTCTACTTTTTCTGTACAGAAGGCTAGTCTATTAAATTCCAATATTCTTAGTTTTCAAATTCCCTTTTTATTTTGTTCCCTTGTGTGAGGATTTTTCTCATTATAGAACTTGAAATAGCTCAGGATAGCGTTGGAAGAAAAACCAAGTCCAATTCCAAGCTGAGAGAAAGACACTGAAATAAAGTGGAGGCAGGCTGCAGGAAAGAAGGTCTCTGTTTATTTGATAGCCAGAAATTTCAATGACAGCAGCATGTTTCTAGGGTAGCTGACAAAATGAGGTTCAGAGTAGGTGGGCTTTTATGCATGCTTTGAGGCTTTGTGATTGAGATGGCTGTTCCTGTGCAAGAATATGCCATTTAATATTTTAATGGCTGTTGCCAGATTCCTATGGAATCATAGCTGGCTCTATAGGCAAAAGGGGAAAAGCAAATCCTAGGTGTTTTGTTTGAGCTAATCTTGTCAGATTTGGCTCCTTTCCTATTGTGTTGCTTATTTGGAGTTTCTAGTTTCCCTTGGCTTATGAATAGAGTGGCCCAGTCTTTCTGAATGGATACAAAATCTCCATTCCTAAAGATTCGCCTCTTCATGCTTAATGATTGCCACAGGAAAGGTGTTAAAAATGGTAACTTATCTAATTCCTGCAACAATTTACAATCATAATCCTAAGAGCCAAGGTGGCGCAGTGGTTAAATGCAGCACTGCAGGCTACTGCTAGATCAGCAGGTCAGCGGTTCAAATCTCACCGGCTCAGGGTTGACTCAGCCTTCCATCCTTCCGAGGTGGGTAAAATGAGGACCCAGATTGTTGGGGGCAATATGCTGACTCTCTGTAAACCGCTTAGAGAGGCCTGAAAGGCCTATGAAGCGGTATATAAGTCTACTGCTATTGCTATTAATAATCCACATAATTGTGGATTGTAAATTATAGTTGAGAACTATCTGTACATGAGAACTGTCTGTATTGCTTATACTAAGTTATAATTGAGAGCTACCTGTACATGTTTTCATAAATTAAGTATAATTTTTACCCATATAGCCACTGTATTTTTCTCAAGCTGTAAAAGTTAACTATACTTATTTTTGAGAGTAGCTAGTGTTTTATTATTATTAACAGAGTTTTTACAGAAATACAATTTTCATGAAAATTTGATTTATGTTTAATATAGTTTTTTGTTTTTATGTTTCAGAGGGAACAAATATTCTACAAACTAGAAGAGTAAAGAACTGTTATATGGATTCTGTAAAAGAAAATAATTTTTACATAGGTAAAGTGTGGATACAATGTGAGAACAGGAGCTGTTTAAAATGGAGACTGTTACTGCAAAATGATGTAGGAAATATTGATTCTAATGCACCATGGTACTGCTCTATGAATATTGATCCACAGTTTAATAAATGTTCTGTTGCTGAAGAATATTTTCCCAAGGAGTCTCAATTTCAAAAACATGGATTAAAATTTATTTATTCAAAGTTTCAATTAGGAAGCTTGGTTCTGGCAAAAATGAAAACATGGCCAAGGTAAGGTTTTAATAAGTTAAGCATTAATTACAGATAATTTTAAAAAAATGTTGTGATAAAGATTACAAATGTTCTTAAACCTTAGGGAACATAATGATTTTCTATTTAGCTTCCATTACAGTTCTCCAATAATTTGTAATATAAACCGTGGTGGCACAGTGATTAGAATGCAGTATTGCAAACTAATTCACTGCTCACTGTCAGGAGTTCAGTTCTGACCAGCTCAAGATTGACTCAACCTTCCATCCTTCTGAAGTTGGTAAAATGAAGACCTATATTGTTGGGGCCAATATTCTGACTCTTTAAACTGCTTAGAGAGGGCTATAAAGTACCATGAAGTGGTATATAAGTTAGGTGGTATTGATATTACTATAAACCAAAATATGTCAGAACAATATATTTATGAAAAAGAATTGTGGTTAGTAAAAGAAAATATTTTTGAAAAACATAAATATTGCCTCTACATTTGTTGAAAAAACATGGGAAATATAGGAAATATAATTATATCATTTTGGGATTTCTGACAAGAGGTCAAATTAACAGCAGTCTTAATATGCAAATTCATAGGGTGAATGCAATTCAGAGAGTCCATCACAGAAGTCAGTGCAAGCCCATGAAAGTGGAGCACAAGATAGTGGGTCTGTGTATCCTCTGAATCCACTAATTAGAGTTCCCAGTTGGTTTCAGTAGGAAAGTGTATGTTAGAAACAATAACCACTTTATATTCTGAAAAACTACTCATCTTCCATTCTTAGCAAGGTTTTATAAGCACAGGATGGTCTCTTTCATTTCCTATTACCTTCTGTCTGCTTTTTCTCTCTTACTTACAATTGCTATAATGGTTACTCAATAAGTATCTTGTTGATATGTCTCCAAACATGTTACTTCCTCAATATAGCATAGAGCCATATGTTTTATTTTTCTCTGGACTTATTTTTGAAAATATTTTATTTTAAGATGGCCTGGCATTCTTTCTCCTGATCCAATTGATGGACAGTATGTGAAATATGATTTTAATGGAGATGTTGAAAGTCATCATGTAGAGTTTCTGGGGAATCCCCATTCCAGGAGTTGGACTGCCATAAAATACATTGATCCTTATCCTAGTTCATTTAAGGTAGGATTTTAAAAAAAACCTCTAGTTAAATCATTAAATTGTTTAAATTCATAGGCTGCCTCTTATCTTTTTGCTTAAAAAGCCACACTATTGATGTACTAACAAGCTATGAATTATCAGTTTGGTTTGTGTGTCTGTCATTTACTAAAAACTGATAATAAATTAATGTTAGTGGTTTGGGTCCCAAGGAATCTTGACTCACCATTCAATAAATTCTTCATGTGCTAGATAAATAATTCTTAGGATAATCCAGAGCAGATTAGAGTCATACATGAAAGAGTTGTGCTATATATTTAGGGTGGTTTTAGAAAAGGCGAAAATAGCATTATTGCTGATGCATACTGCATAATTAAGAAATGATACTAAAAAGAGATCAATATGTCCTTCATTGATTAAAGAAAGGCCTTCAATTATACTGTCAAGTAGTGTGACATGCTTATGAAAAATAGGAAACTCAAAACAACTCATTGTACTCATGAAAAATCTGTACATAGGATAGAAAATCACAAGTTGGAAGGAACATGATGAAATAGGTTGGCTCAAAGTTGTGAAAAGAATCAGACAAGATTATATACTCTCCCTTTATTCAATTTATATGCTTAATATATACTGAAGCTCCATTGGAAGTTATGGCAAAGGGAATTGTTAGGCCCAAGAACCAAAAGGACATATAGAATTACAGTACTTCTGAAAAGTTTCTTTTACTGTTCTCAATCTGTAGACAGAAATTTTGCCAAAGTAAAGCAACTATTTGCACCACCATACTGTAGGTATAATCTGAGAACTGCTACAGAGGATCCTTCTTAACTCCCAACCAAACTACTTAAACTTTGCTCCCCTTTTGCCCTCTGGATTTTATTCCCTTCTTCCTGGAATGAGAGGAATCACCAAAGGAATGATGTTAACTTCCTCCAAAGCCAAATCACTCTGCCATTGCCCCAGGACAAAACCAGATTTAGTGAGTGATTTCCATTGTAAGTTGGACCATTAATAAATTAGATCAGATCCACAATTGTCATGGTGGCCATGAATTTCAAGCAACCTCTGAATCCAGGTCCAATGAAACCAGGTTTAAGTCTCTCAGCAACATAAGTCTGGGGAACTCCATCAACAAATGTTATTTATTTTATCTACCACATTTTTAAGCAGCCCATATCCCTCACAGAGGTGATGGTTTTCAATTGTCACATTGGCCACAGATTCAAGGTACTCTGGCAGGAATGGCTTTATGCTAAAGAAAGGAAGGTAAACAAACAAACAGTAGACTATGGCCTATGACCAATCTCACAAAGGGAATTTCACATCTAGTTATGAATTACAGTATGTCTGGCACAATGTCCCTAAAGACCACCAGAGAGTCATTGTAATTGTATGTAGAAATTACAAGGGAGACAGGTGGAAGAGCCATAGACTAAACAACAGTCAGACAAGCAGCAATGAGAATGTGGGATAAAAATATCAGAGAAAAGATCATCTCCCTAGTTTCTTGGACTATAAGGGTGAAGAAGAGAGATGTATTTTTCAGACTTGGATGATACTGTTAATGTCGCCTTACAATAAAGTTAGAGCAAGTTCTTCTGGGTGTGCTTGTTTTCTGAACCTTCCACAGTTGAAATTCATGGATAACGTCATATCCCTATTTTTGCTCTAAAGTCATGACTGGTACTACACCCATAAAGTGGTGCATTTCAGAGATGGGGACACCCTCCATTCTGCCCCTAACCAGCTTTTGATAATGGAAAAGAAGTACACCTTCTCTTCCAAAATTAAATCATATTTGATATGGAAAAAAATATAAATTAAAGCAAAAATAAAATAAATAAATATTTGAATAAAAATGTTAATCTAGTAATATTTGACTAGATCAACCACAACTTTCTTTGGAGATTGTTCCTTAAATAAATGTAATGTCAAAGTCAATATGGTTCTGAAAAGTAAATTTTTTGGAATTTAAACCTTGATAATCCTAAATTAATTTATATAGATATTTGCACGACTTCTGAGAACATTTTGATTGTAGCTTCCGTCCAATGCCTTTTGAGAAAGCAGAGTAGTGTTATGAAGTTAGTTGCATACTAATGTTTAGCAGTTGAACTATGATGTTCTTTCACCTTTTTAATATTCAACATTCAGAAGCAGTTTTTAAAGAGTGAATGTCAAGTTCTATAACCTTTTCTATGTTATCAAAATTGTGTATTAGTTTTGGTGGCATAGAAAAGCTGCTCAAATCTTTAATGCTTTTTCCCTTTAGTTCAATAAAGGTTTTTCCTTTTATTGGATTATCTTTTCTGTAGCTAAATCTCCTGTCAATCAGTTAGTAATTTGAGAAGTGCCCTTAAATCTCATCTTATTTCTGCCATGTCTGCCTATCAATAAATGGTTTTCTATCCTCTCTGATCTTTTGAACAATGTCATCTTTTATTCTTTCTTTCCTTCTCTTCTTAGCCTCATTTTCTTGTTATGCAACATTGCAGGACTACTACTTCCTTCTTTTATCAAATTCAGGGCCAATCGTTATAAGCTTTAGAATTGATTTCTCAGCCACTTTCCATTTTATTAATGGAAGTACAGAAAAATATTGAAATTGATTTACAAAATATATTTGTATTTATTGTTGTTTCTTCCATATACTAGAATCTTTTCAATTTTCAGAATGCATGGGAAAAAATTGTTTAGCTTCAACTGTACCAGCTTAATTGAACTCTACTGGCTAATAGTCATGAATATAATAAATATGTGACATTTTCAGGAGAACATTTAAAATAGAAATAGCCAACTTCTAGAACTTCAGGTTCAGCTACAGTTGAAAAAGTTCTTCCTATCTTAGGGGCAGAAAAGTTGGCTTTGTTCTAATACTACAATATGTACAGAATTTGGCTGAACATTGAATTTTATTTCAACATTGAAGACAACACAGTATCTCCCATATATAAGGATACTGGAGTAGCTTGAACGCCACAGAAAATGCTGGACACTTCTGGGATGCAGCATCTCCCAGTATTAAAAAAAACAACACCCTATTTGATGTGGGCTGTTTAACTGTTGCAATGGTGGGATTCAGCCAGTTTGCACCTATTCAGGAGAACCTGTTAACTTTCTAAGCAGTTTGGAGAATAGGTTGTTGGAAGAAATCTCCTTTTGGTTTTTTCCACTTTTACAGGGCTAATCCTGTAAGGCAGGCAGGAAGGAAACATTCTGTTGTTGTTTCTAGCCTAATCTTTATTGCCCTGCTTACAGAAACTGCCTCTCTGGTTAACCCTTATTACATTGTAACAGCTAAAGCAAAGCACCCATCAACGTGAGTGACTTTGAGTTGGCTATACCCACATGGTCACATGACCACCGGGCCACGCCTACCCAGCTGGTCATTAGGGCAGAGAACCGGTTGTTAAATTATTTGAATCCCACCACTGAACTGTTGATATGTGCCTTTCCTTCTCTGTATCTCTTTCTGTTCACATATTAATTTAGATCAAGTAAGCTGGCTGAACTGTACCAAAGTTGGAATGGGGAGACAGGGGAAAATAAATGAAAAATCCTGTTTTTTCATCATCAGGAAATGAGCTAGAATAAAATATTTTAAAATGTTACTTTTTTGCTGTTTGTTTATTCATATATTTGCCAGGAAATTGCCGTATTTTTGGAGTATAAGATGCACCTTTTTCCCTCAGAAAAGAGGCTGAAAATCTGGGTGCGTCTTATACACTGAATACAGTATTTTTGCCTCCTGAAACCCCGCCCCCTTCACCAAAATGGCCATGCAGAGCCTTTAGGAGGCTTCCAGGGTGCTCCTGGGGACTGGGGAGGGCAGAAATGAGCGAAAAACGGGCCGTTTCTTTGTTCATTTTTGACCCACCTCCCCAGGAGTACTCTACAAGCCTCCTAAAGGCTATTCATGCCCATTTTTGGACAAGAAAATGGCCGGTTTTTGCTCGTTTTTGGCCCCCTCCACCCCCCCAGGAGCACTCTACAGTGCTCCCTCTAAAGGCTATTCATGCCCCCCCCCCTTTTTTTAAGGAAAAAAACAGGCCCATTTTTGCGAAAAACAGGCCTTTTTTTTGCCCCCACCCTCCACTCCAGGAACATTCTACAAGCCTCCTAAGGGCTATTCATGCCCCCCCCCCTTTTTTTAAGGAAAAAAACAGGCCCGTTTTTGCAAAAAAACAGCCCATTTTTGGGAGGTTGGCAGAATGTAAAAACTTTTTTAAAAAAAATTCCTCTTCAAAACCTTGGTGCGTCTTATACTCTGGTGCATCTTGTATTCTGAAAAATATGGTAATACTCCCCATCTTAGGCAGAGAATGAACTGATATTCAAATTGCCAGGCTGCTTTGTTCGTTTGTTTTTTGTTGTTTTGTTTTATTTTTGCTGCTTCCTTCTCTTTTATTTTAGAGACATGAACTGTCTTGCAATGACAATTATCTAACCACAGAAGCAACAGATGCATGCTGATCATAATGAAATGTGATTATCTTGTATATTCTTCTTTACATTTTACCTACTCTGCCATTGCTCCCAATCTCTTGTCTGAGGTTTCTGTTTATTTCTGATGCTCTTTTTAAACTCACATATTCAGTGAAACATTAACAAGTATAATTTTAGCATTTCATAATATTGCTTGCATTATAAAATATTTGCCTTAAAGGGAAACCTTTAGACCTGGCCATTTAAAACCTCACATTAAGTATATGCTCTGCAAGTTAAAGCCATATACTGTAGCTAGTAAGCTGTTATTCCCAATCTTGTGTGTCTAAACTAACACCTCCACCCCCCCCCCCAATTATTTGTCATTGTGTCTGAAGATGATGAAGATTAGTGGATGATTATATGCAAAATCTTTTTGTGTAAATTTAATAAATATTACATTAAAAATATGCAAACCAAAAGGATAAAAAGAAAACACTAAAAAGTTTGGGGAGAATAGTGCAAAAAAGAAAGATTAAGGATGTAGCTAGTTTACTTTATTGATTAGCCCATGGACCATATCAAAGTGTAGAGTT